GCATTGCATCAACAAAATGAATGCACTTTCATTTGAGATGTCGTCTCTTATGCAAACTATAGGTCGAAGACGCTTCGGGTGCGCATCGACGACAGCTCGCGGAATTTCTGCGTAAATCCTCCAGTATTGCTTTCCCTGAAAAGTTCTCAGAAACAGCAACTGGTAGCTCCAGAGGCGTAGGCTTCCATCTAAGGATAAACCATACGCGTCGCAGTGACGGAGAGAGATTTGTAAGTTCCGGAAGAGTTTTCAGCAAAACTCCTGAAAATGCCTCTATTTGTGAAAAAGTGCTCCGCCTTGGTATATGTGGAGTGCAAATCGTACCAATGAAATACTTATAGCAGCACCTTCTTGAGAATGTTCTTCTTGAGTGTTCAGTGAATTATGGCATAAGCTGCTCGTCCGACGGCATAGATTCCAGCCCAAAACATTGAACAGTTGAAATGGTGAAAAAGGAAACAATCCGTCCCTCATCATTAGCTTTGCCATCACACTGGCAAACATGCGTGTGTGCTGGGACTTGAGCGTTTCGTTTAAGTTGGACACTTTCCCGTAAGCAAAAAGCGTTTCGAAGAAAATTAGACAGCACGACAGGGTCGAGCTTGTCGTTGACTTCCGCACTCTTCGGCCTAATAGACTGATACAAAAAATATTGAAACGAAAAATGGACTCCTCAAAAATGGACTAGCCACATTCGCACAAAGACGGAATGGTTAGTGGTTGGAGCAAGGATTCACTATTAGACAAGATGAAGTCACCCAGGGATTGTATGGCTGATGACTCATCAAGTCGTTGTTTTGAGTGCTCAAAAAATGCAGTTTTTTGAACCGATGTGTGGGAGCTCGCATTGTCGTGGTGAAGAGCGATCCGTCTTCGGCAATTGGTTTTCCTGAATTTTTGGAAGACAACTGGCAGACAAGTGAATGTATACCACTCAGAATTGACTGTTCTGCTTGCTCTAGTGGTACGGTTGCGAACCGTCCAGTTTTCCCAAAAAAAATCAGGCGACCACTTGCTTGGAAGTGCTTCGTGCGCGAACAGCTTTTGTTGGATTTGGCTCATCTTGACACACTCATACGGTTGACTGTTATCAATTTCGGGCTCGTACGCGAAAACCCATAATCCATCGCCTGGCGCGATGTCATAGACGTGTTTCAGAGCACCGCCGTCATATTTTTTNTTTTTTGAGCATTTCTTTCGACTAATCATCACGAGTCTTTTTTTGCGAAGGATTAACAATATTAGTTTGCGCACAGCATCGGAACAACAACTGATTCTGGAGCTTTCCACGAAACTCGTCTTGGAGTGAACTACGACCTCGGTTGAATTCGCCATACCAACGATAAGCACTGGTCATTGATGGGGCTTCGTCGCCAAAGGGGGAAGGAGAGGTTAAGGGGAAGGAGGTTCGACCTAAGTGGGGGGTGCGGGCGCCAAGAGCCTGGATAAAGTTTTTAGTTAGTGCAACACAAATAGCGCTCATATGTCAAAACGTTCTGAGTACGTACAACCTCAAAAATGTCAAACTTTACGATAGAGCTGTCAGTTGCCAGAGTGCAACACTAGGATTGCTCAATCCCGAAATATAGAAGGCAACCCTAGTAATATCAATGAGTACTTATTATTAAACTGCATGAGTTTACACGCATTATCAGTATTCTCATAGGTCTATGTACTATGAAGCGCATTATACGTAATTCCCATTTCTTTCATTATGACGCCCAAATAAAATCTTTACAAATCATACTGTAATTATTTCCCGCTTTATCCAATTTACAAAAGACACCTATCATGATACTGTTCAACTACATTACGAGAGAAACGTTCTCCCACACAACTTATGCTAGATTTAGTTAGCAGCGATTTAACTTTTTTATGATAGTAACAGTACAAATGCTTTTCAAGTAGGCCTACCTGATATGCGTTCAATTTTTTGGTTATTTTCAGAGAACTTAATAATCTTGAACATAGTATCCATGTAAATGTTTTTACTGCACGTCTTGTGATGCCACCGTCTTGTTTCTCTTTCCATCATGGAACTTAGTTCACCTTCTCTTATTAGACTTAAATCTTCTGTTATAACATGACCAAATTTTTCATTTACATATTTTGCAACAGCGCTACTATGACAATCACAACTACCTGTTCAGCTAGGCCTATCAAGTCTGCGTAGAGGGTGTGAAGCATCAGCGAACGGGCATATGTCCCCGGCCTCCCTCATGCCACAGAAGTCGTGTTCCGTGCAAACCACCGAGGCGCATATCACTGGATGGTCCCCATGGTGGAATAATAACCGAAAGTTGGTTAAATGCTAATGGCCTTACTGTGCTACGGTGTTTACAGAGTGCTGAAAGCCGCCTCTTGACCAATTTTTCACTTATACTAAATCAACTGGAGCTACCTTTTTAGGTATTGTTATTGCAACCTTTTCATGAACCTCGGGAAAACTTCGTAATACATTAACTGTCGTAGACTTTTCGTGTAAGACCGATAAACACAGAAGAAGAAAGAATTGAAGAACCGGCCAGAACATTCCTAATTTAGTGTTTCGTAGGTTCATATTCGTAAAAGGAGGGAGGAATTTCGGTTGGTTGCCTTATTATCACAGCAACAAGCAGCAGCAATTATCATTATCATGATCCAAGCATGGGCCGTTGAACGTGCAACTTAACTCTTGCTACCACCAATCATTCTTAGTCGTTGAACAAATAGCAAGCAGCGCCTTTTTCTTGCATTTGATTATATCGATGGGATGATTTTTTCTGACTCCTATCTGTTTGCTTATTTCTATTACCTGTGTAAGCATGGCTGGATTTCAGATCCGTTTTTCAGATAAAGTACAGACCGTCGCCCATGTATACAAGTTGTATGGCATGGGTATGTTCTTCCTTCAAAAATCTGCCTCACATAATAAAGATAAAGTTTTTGGCGTTAATCAATCCCGTATGAGGGATGACCCCGCCTCGACTTCCATCCAGAATCGTAGTGGGGTAATGAGTGCGTATGTGGCATATACAATGACTTGCGGTGGCCAGCCCATGTACAAATCAGCGCTTTTATCCTCCCAGACAAGTCTGGTACCAAATCACCGACCCCGGAGGGATGGAAGGCTTTGTTGGCCGGCTTTGTTGGCCTAGGCGGGCATCGATCCGGGATTCGAACCCCTGACTGTGCAAGTGAGATAGTGCGCCACTCGCCCTTTTTTATCGTGAACCGTGCCTTTAAGCTGATATGGGTAAAGCTGATGGATGCAAACTTTCTATTCAGTGATGTGATTAGTGGTAGGACACAATTTATGGTAATAAGAAGCAGAGATTAGAACTCCGAAGACAATTCAACAGACTTAAGAGTTAACACATAACAAAGTAAAAATGCGAATTTCATATGGGAGGATAGAATGATGATGGTGGCGATATTCCAGGATTCCCGTACAACGAAGCAAGCCGTGTCAACGCCTTTACTAGATGGAATGGTCAAGGCTGAGGTCAAAGTTGTGAAACTACCAGACCCTCCCGCGCCTCAAATGTGTGTGTCGTTACCACAGCCACCAGTGGAGCAAGCAGGAGCTGAGCTCGTTGTGCTACCCACGACACCCACAACGGTGCTTCCTACGAATGCTCCAGCACCACAAATAAATCCGAACAATACAGCAGGTACCCCACGCGAAAACCCCATTCAATCAGAGTTTCTTGATCTGGCCGAACACTACTGACATTTGTTTGTTTACTCCTCCGAGAAATTCATCTCACTTCGCACAAACTATAGATACAATGCATATAGTACTTCAAAAAAGAAATGTCGCAGATGAATAACGAACAATTTGACAATAAATTAATGTTGTTAATAAATAATGTTTTGCTTTGCAGTTATTAATAATGAAACGGAATGGGTTCTGTTAGTGAAACAACTAACAAGTATCGCGTGTGTGTGTGTCTGTTACCTGAAGAAGCACCTGGAGAGGTCGGGTCACGTTCGGAAAGGGTGGGATCGGGGGTA